ACTAATTAATACTGAAGTAATGAATTGCTTAACTAATTACCATTAACCAATTAAAATCGTTTTGCCATATTACCAACTGAAAGTAGGCTCCAGAACAGTGAGCATATGAAATAGGTTACTGAATATTGAGGACATGACAACATAACAAAAACAATGTGTCATACAGATTTGTATATGATGTAGTAGCCTACTCTGACTGGCTGACTTGTAAAGCCTGGTAGAAGTCCACATACTGCAAGACTGTGGGATACTGCAATTTGTGCACAGTGTAAGTACGTCTTTCTTTTTCACAGCGGTGATACCAGGCGAACGTCTGCATAACTTTTTAGGTTCTGTTCCATGATAACCTCTGGTCTCCTGTTTTCCAGCTTTAAGTATTTTAAATGCTTGGTCAGACACTTCATATTTGAGCTGAATAACTTTTGGATCCTCTTTTGTGTATCACAGCCACTTGGATTTTCTGCCAACAAACCGTTCATTGTTGTATTTCTGTACATAGAGGTCATACATCTTAGTCATATTAAGATTTTCCTCAAGGTACTGCTTTGCTGTGTCTTTCCTGCAGAATGAGAGATTAAACCAGGCTTTTATAGGGTGAGACTGAAGAGGTAAGAGACACAGGTGAGTGCAATCAGTGATGAGTCTGGGCAAAGGATTATGGGGAATGCAGTCTGAAGAATGTTAGAATCGTCTGGAGGGGAGTGACCTCTTGTGTAGCTCATGGGCACTCCAGCTGGTGATCGTAACACCATGACACAACATCATTTCATTAGGATTACACATGTTGATGTCAAAGCTATATTAGCAAAGTCCGCCCTATATCAATATCTGCATCCTGGCCTATTCAGCGAGGCCTTTTGTTCAAGGGATCAGGTTTTTCCTGAAGCGAGCCCTTCTGCACCTTAGTACCCTGTATCTATGTCCTGAAGGCAGTAGGGTGAGGTACCAATTTAATGGGTGTGTAATGTCCTGTCCAATTGAAGTCGCCATATGTGTAATGGCCCTGTTATTTAATTCTGTCAAGTTTGATGTGGGAAGACCAATTATTTTGGAAGCTATGGTAGTTATACTTATGAATTTGGCAACAGATAGCATGCCAAAGAAACAGGTGGATCAATATAGAATAATAGATTGAATTGTGTTCTGATACAGCAGCAAAAGGAGACGAGGAGCAACATAAAGTCCTTTTAATTTACGGATGACTGACAGTCTTTGATGGCTCATTTTCTGAATGTCACTGGTGTGCTGATTAAAGGTAAGTTGATTGTCCAGTGTTATCTCAAGGTATTTAAAATGATTGACTACTTCTATTACTTGGTTGTTAATGAGGACAGAATGCTGAGGTGAGGAAGAACTTATTAGTAATTATTTTGTTTTGGTGACATTAAGATGGAGATATTACCCTCACACCACTGAGTGAAGTGTGCAGTGGTGTTGTAATAATCCAGTATAAAGTTGTTGTCTGTAATCAGAGCGAGGATGGCTGTGTCATCTGAGTATTTGAGGTATGTGGTCGTGGGTGATGGACTGATGCTATCATTGGTATAAAAAGGTGTAAAGAAATGGGCTTAGCACACAGCCTTGTGGTGCTCCAGTGTTGGTTGTAATTACCACCATTATAATTTGTCTCTCCTGGTGTATATGGCAAATAGTAAATTATTTCAAAGATTTTTTACACATCTCTTGTACATACTGTTACAGTCAGAAAAATATTAATTAATATATATTTTCATTCTTACCCCAGACTGAATGTTATAACATTTTTCACAAAAAATATGAAGCAGCACAACTGTTTTCAACACTGATAATAATCAAAAATGTTTCTTGAGCAGCAAATCAGCATATTAGAATGATTTCTGAAGATCATGTGACACTGAAGACTGGAGTAATGATGCTGAAAATTCACAGAAATAAATTATATTTTACTGTACATCCACATAGTATATTTGCTATTTTAAATTGCAACATTATATATTTCACGGTATTACTGTTTACTGTATTTACCATCATCAAAATCATCATCAATTGGAGCTCTTTTCTAAAAAAATGATAGGAGAGTTCAAGCTCCTGCAAACGGACAAATATAAGACTAGTGGAAAGGCACAATAAAAGCAGTCCACATTCTGCACTACATTCCAAGTCTTCTAAACCATATACCAGTGCATTGTTTCATATGGACTGATATTATAACTTTAGTGATATTAAACTGTCCCTCTATGTAAAAGAGATGTGTAAAAATGATTCAAAATGATTTACCATTTGCCATATACACCAGGAAAGACATATTGTAATGTAAAGAAGTGTGCCTGTCATTTATGGTGTGGACCGGGTGCGGTGGGCTGCTTTGTCCAGGGCCACTTTTTGGCCCCAGTCCGCCCCTGCTACGTACACTTACTATAACTCATTCTTTATATATATTTACGAAATGGGCCGGCCCACACTGTACAGCAGTCCACCGGGAAAACGCCGGGTGCTCCAGATGGCCAGTCCGCCACTGCTTATAGATAAGTCAGGAGAGATGATTGGGCAAGGTGGTGTCTATGCTCTTTCTTTGAGAATTTCTCTCCAGATTAGTGAGTTCTATTGTTTTATTGTTTTCTATTGTTTTTGATATTGTGGTCTGTCGTAACAGGAAAACCATCCTTACATAATGATAAATTAATAATATTAAGAAGAGTATCTTCTGGAAGCACCTCTTCCAGTAACTTTGTTGGTATAGTGTTCAACATACATATCGATTCAGATAATTTATAGCAGAGAGAGAAGGCAGTTGTTCCTCAAGGCTTATGTTAGTCTCATATTTTTTCTGAGGTTACTGAATCCAGTCCGCATCTAGAGGAGATGGTGAATCAGCACCTAGTGATGACCCCAGCTGCCCTGAATGTAAGCAGAGACCACTGCCAGTGCCAGAGACCACAACTAGACAAGCCATAGAGACAGATCCCCTGTGAATACCTCACCGACTAGACAGCCATCTGCACAGAGCCTCAGCAAAGACCATGAGAACCAGACGAGTCCTCTGCACTGACCCTCTGGCCAACTTCCTCTCCTTCACCATATTATGCATCACAGTCATCAAAGAGAAGGAACTGGATGAACTTTCTGAATGATATCAATCTAGTCTGACTTGTGTTGCAGCCTGGAATTAAACTGCTGGTTTCATATGGCCAGAGGAGAGCTGGCCCCTGACTGAGTCTGGTTTCTCCCAAGGATTTTTTCTTATTTCTGTTACCGATGGAGTTTGGGTTAGCTTAATGTGTGGGACAGATGAATATCTGTCAGTTGTCAGTGAACTGAATTGATGGTTAAAACTGATGTTTACGAAAATGTTTCTTATAATTACATTCAAGTAAACACTGTAAGAGCTACAGAAAAGCAGAGAAACAAAGAGGTTATGTATGATGTGGTCTACTACAATTGCATAACTACATTCAGTCTTGCAAGAAGAAATATAAAATCATTGTTTTGTGCAATATATTTGTAAAGCAAAGGTTGTGAAAGTACACACACACACACACACAGAATGAATTTGGTTCACACACTAATGCTGAAGAAATTCAGACAACAGTGCTAATCGGCGTGTACTGCATTAATATAGCCATAGGTTTGTGGAATAAGTGCATTTCATTAAAATAGATAATCACCAATTGGTAAAGTCACTGTGTTACTACACTATTGAATTCCATGGTATTCTTTATCAGGACAAAATAATAATAATAAAAAAAATCATCTGGTCCTTGGCAGGTCTTAAAGTTTGGAAAATTATACCTCAGATTAACAACAAACATTATGTATCACATCGTGTCATCATTTGTTTACCAAAAACTAGGCCAAAATGGAAAAGTCATCAGTGACAAACAACTCAGTTACGTATGTAACCCTCGTTCCCTGAAGGAGGGAACGGAGACGTCACATCAGTAATGACCGACGAACTGTACTCAGAACCTTCCGACTCCAAAGGAGGAGGTTGCGGGCCTCAGATTAACAACAAACATTATGTATCACATCGTGTCATCATTTGTTTACCAAAAACTAGGCCAAAATGGAAAAGTCATCAGTGACAAACAACTCAGTTACGTATGTAACCCTCGTTCCCTGAAGGAGGGAACGGAGACGTCTCATCAGTAATGACCGACGAACTGTACTCAGAACCTTCCGACTCCAAAAGAGGAGGTTGCGGGCGAGTTGCGACATGCGACGGGAGCGCAGACCATCTTGTCGGTTGATGTACGCAACAGTCGCAGTGTTGTCCGTCCGGACCAGCACGTGCTTGCCTTGTAAGCGCCCCTTGAGACGGTTCAAGGCAAGGTGCACTGCTAACAACTCTAGGCAGTTGATGTGCCAGTGCAGTTGGGTGCCCGTCCATACCCCCGACACTGCATACCCATTGTACGTGGCCCCCCAGCCGGTGGTATAGGCATCCATGTAAGCCACAGCATGCCTGGAGACCTGCTCTAGGGGCACGCCTACCCGGAGAAACACAAGGTCTGACCATGGGATGAAGGTTTGGCGGTAGGCCAGTGTGACTTGGTCTCATATGAAGCAGCCCCAGGAGTGTAACTGCCGCTGCAGCTGCCATATGCCCCAGAAGCCTCTGAAATTGTTTCAGTGGGACCGCTGTCCTGCCCTTGAATGAATTCAAGCAGTTCAGCACATCTGTTCGACCGAATCCAACTTCATACCGAGAAAAGATATCCTCTGCGTCGGGGAGAGTTTGCTCTTTTCCCAGTTGACCCGAAGACCCGGTGCCGGAGCACCAGGTCCCTGTGTTCGCACAACTGATCCCGAGACTGTGATAGTATAAGCCAATCGTCGAGATAGTTGAGAATGTGAACACCTTGCTCTCTGAGGGGAAAAAGAGCCCCATCCGAAACGTTCGTGAAGACACGGTGGGACAGGGACCGAAAATTTTGCTCTCTCTAAAAAAGCTCTCGACGTCGCCGAAGAGGCCGGTCTGGGACATAGGTGCATTGAGGAACCAAACTTTGCAGGCGTCCCTCATGTCGGCCAGACAGCCAGAGATAACGCTCCTGGATCACAAGTGTGGACATCGCACGACCCAGAGGACTCGCTTTGACCTTCGTCATTCGGAGCACGAGGTCAGTTGCGGTTCGGAGCTCTTTCATGGACATCGCACGACCCAGAGAACTCGCGGTGACCTTCGTTGCTCTGAGTGCGAGGTCAGTAGTAGAACTTCCAGATCGTGACCACCCTCGTGCAGGTCCCTCAGTGCCTTGGCCTGATGAACCTGCAGTAACGCCATCGCGTGTAAGGCAGATGCAGACTCTTCACAAACCATATAAGCACTGCTGGTCAGACCAGACGAGTGCCTACACGCCCGGGAGGGAAACGCAGGTCTCCCCGCCAGGAGGAGACGGTACTAGGACACAATTGCATCACTACCGACCACTCCACCGGGGGATCCCCGCATACCCCTTAGCTGTACCAACATCAAGGGTGATGAGGGAGGAGGAACTAACAGGCCGGTTTCTGCCAGTAAAAGGTGCCATCCACGACCTCGTAAGCTCCTTGTAGATAACTTGACTACTTAAATTTGTAAGGGAATTAATTTCCTTTTCCTGTTTGGACATAATGGTTCCATCCATTGGTGGTCACAAGACATCGGGGTTTCTATATGTTGTGAACTGGCTTTTCAGTCCTGATACAAAGAAAGCTTTGTTGACTCCTGACTGAATTAATTCGAAGCCTCGTGATGGTGATTCAGTGGCGTATCAGTGTCCTGTTCATGAAATCCCTACATCCTCATGCACCTCCGGGAAGAAAGGCATCGGGTGGGGTGCTGAGAACCAGCGCGAGCAACCCCAAGAAACCAATCGTCCAGCCTCGAGGCTTTGGGATTCAGTGGAGGGTTCCACTTGATCCCTATCCTCTCGGTGGCCCGGGAAAGCATAGCTGCCATTTCCCGATTCGATTCAGGCTTTGCCACCATCCCAGAGGGCGGCAGCGCAGCCGAAACTTCCTCCAGAAAGCTCCCCCTCCGATGCAATGATCGACACCCGGTCATTGGGAGGAGTGCTGAAGGATACCGCTGGTACGCTCTTTGAAGAGGGCCAAGCACGTTCCTTTGGCAGCTTGACTGGTTGTGGAGCGTGAGAGGAGCGATGGTCCCCTGTGGGTTGGTTCCCTGGAGGGTTTGCCACCACTGTTACTCTCAGACCGGCCGTGCTACTGCCTGAACGGAGCTCCGTCCCCCTCGAGGTAACGGAGCTTGGTCCGCAGCTCTGAGATGGTCATCTTACCACAATGGGAACATGATTGATCCGCGAACGCCATCTCAGCATGCTTGATGCCCAGACACGTGAGGCAGCGATCGTGACCATCACCCGTCGTCTTCACAAAGACACACCCGTGTATGCTCTTTTAGAGAAATTACTCTTTCAGGGAAATGCTCTTTTACGTGCTGAGACGCACAGGGGAGATGGCCGCTTGCAACACAACAGGGGGTAGTGTAGCCTGAAGTGCGCAACACACTCGACACTGGAACAACCACTGCCAACACAAAAAGCTCCCTTAGAGAGCGTTGAACTCATCGTTACATGAACAGTTTGGCAAGAGCAGAACGAAGTTGTTGCTCGGCTCTGAAGTGAAAAGTTGGTATGCGTTGCACCTGCTGCCTATTTATGCTCGTGCTGTCATCAGCGGCAGCTGGATGCACTCATCGCATGTCAATGTGCATTGGCTCGTTTGGTTTACACTCAAAGTGGATTGGTCTCTCGAAGCGAGATCCCAGTGAAATGTGTCCAGTGACATGACTCGTAGTGACCGACTGAAAGGGAACTAAGGACACCTTATGATTCAGTTGCTTGTAGATCCACTTTTAGAAGTAATAAGTTGAATTAATCATTTTCTGTGTGACTTTATCAGTCTCTCACATCGTTTTTGAGTAATTCTGGCCCACTCTTCTCTACAACATTGCTCCAGTTTATTGAGGTTCATGAGCGTTTGTTTATGCACAGCTCTCACCACAGCATTTCAGTTAGAATAAGGTCTGGACTTTGACTGGGCTATCGCAACACCTTGATTCTTTTCTTTTTCAGCTGTTCTGTTGATTGGCTGGTGTGTTAAATTAAATGTAAATATTTAATAGATAAATATTAAACCAAACATCTTGAACCAAGTCATTAAATTAAGTCTGAACAGTACTGATTAAAGTAATCATTTTGAGCCAAATGACCCTTTTCGGGCAAAAACAGAGAAGGACATACAAACAGAGGGTTTTACATTAATGAAAAAAAAAGTGTTATAACAAAATAAATATGTTACAATATAAATATATGATAAGGCTAATTTAGGCTGCAAATTTGGTTGAATTCAAACTGAAATTATGATATGGCTTAAATGCAACTACTCAAAACAAATACCCTGTCATTTACAATCTGAATTCAATATTGCAACAATAATAATGATAATAATAAAAAAAAATTCAACAGATTGTTTTAACAGCTTTGTCAAAAACACTTAAATCTGCTATTACTAAAACTGTCTTTTATTTTTGAAAGATGACTGAAATCCATGTTCAAAGTCTTGAAAAGGCTACACAGTGTACAATGTGCCAATATTATGTTAACTGAGCACTAAATTTCTTCTTTATCGACTGAGAAAGTAGACCCAACAAAAATACCTACTGTAACTGCACAAATTAAAGATTATCATTTACATTGAGCACACACCCTTTTATACAGACATCAGAAAAGCACACAACATTTGAATATTTTACCTATTTTCCTTTGTGTCCCAGGTAAAGTATTGTGATAAGAAGATTAATAATAATAGTAATGACATAAACATATGATATTATAATTATTTTGAAATAAAAATAATAGCATAACTGATCAGTAATGGCACTAAACTGTACCTGAATTCAACTCAAATCCTGTGAAGTATTTGATTACAAGATGAGAAGCAAATTCCCATTCATAAGCAAAGGAACAAGGAAAGAATGAAGATGTCTAATTGTACATGATGCATTTATGGAAACTCAACTATGGAGACAGTTCAGATTCTGCTTTAAAGCAGCTCTTGAAGATAATGTCGTCATTGTTTAGATCAAGTCAGTTCAGTGTTGGTTCAGTGCAAATCGATAACTGTGAATTTCATAAAATTTTGATACAAGTTCAGTTCAGCTATAAAGAAAAAGGCAGCTTCGGAAACAGCCAGGGTGTTAAAATGTGCGCTTGGGATTGCACATGCACATTAGCTGTACCAACCTTACACATACAGTGCTGTGAAAAGGTTTTTGCTCCCTTCCTGTTTTTTTAATTTTTTGCACATTTGTCACACTTAAAAGATTCAGATCATCAAACAAATTTTAATATTACACAAAGATAATGCAAGTAAATACAAAATGCAGTTTTTAAGTAGGGCCACGTAGGTTTGGACAGCTTTTTTCCCTTAATAAATGAAATCATCATTTAAAAACTGCATGTTGTATTTACTTGCATTATCTTTGTGTAATATTAAAAGTGTGACAAATATGCAAAAAATTTAAAAAAACAGGAAGGGGGCAAAAACCTTTCACAGCACTGTACACTCTTAAAAAATCTGTAAAAAGGGCACAATATACTGCATTAATATGTAGGATTTTTTAAATTTTTTTAATGGATGCACCTATCCAAAACTCTTTACTCAATACTGCCTTTTTTTTGTAATTACTTGAAGTATAAACAAGAAGCACAAGCTTCTGTGTCAGGTTGTTATGCTTTAAAAAAATTAAATATATAGGACAACATGAGAAAATATTGAAAGTACAAGGAGAAAAGGTCAAGTCAGGACCGACGCTAGGACACTTGCCTTGTAGGGTTTTAACTTTCCCTTTAGAACACAATTAAGTACATTTGCATTAAATAGTTTCAAGTTAGGTGCACATCCCAGCATAAACGCTCCAGATAAATTATTTGTTAATAAAGCATATATTTTCACAAACCACTGTTAATTTTAATAGAAAACAAGCATACTGTAAGCATGATTTGACATGGTAGCTAATACGATAACAATTGCATTACCTAATGCAGAAAAATCCAGCATTTCAACCAGGCCTGGTTCCAGAATCAAATCACTGAGGGTGCTTCTGAAATATGTGAGTGGACTTTTATCTTGGTTAAGCTTGTCCTAATCTAGCCTTGAGGTCATGAACACATGAATTGACATTTCTGCATTTGACACTGAGAGCATATGTCATAATTTAGAGATACTTTTAAGGTGGAAAAATGCAGTTTCACAAATGCTAGACATGTGGCTTTCAAAAGAAAAATTATTATAAGATAGCACACTTAACTGGCAATGAAGACTTGACAGAGCAGCCATCAAATGTTAGAGACTATTCTATCATATTATGTGTGGAGGTTTTTGGTCCAATAATTAACACCTCCGCTTTTATGTTAGTTTTGTGAATTGGTATGTTTCATCAGGCTATAAAGAAAATATAGATCTGAGTATCATCAGCATAAAGTGAAAGCTAACACCATGTTTCCTGAAGATATCTCTCAGGGGTAACATGTACAGGGTGAAAAGCTACAGTCCTAGTACTGAGCCTTGTGGTACTCCATACTGTACTTGCGATCGATATGATAACTCTTAATTTACAGCTGCAAGCTAATGACGGTCCGATAAGTATGATTTCAACCATGCCAATGCAGTTCCACTAATGCCAAAAAATTTGAGGTTATTCAAAACAATTTTGTGGTTGATAGTGTTAAATGCAACATACTGATTACATTCATACAATAATGTTCCAAATTATGTATTTAATTGTCTCTTATTAGAATAAACGTTTACACAAAAAAAAAGGGAACTATTTTGTAATAGGTCAATTTAATGTTGAATATTCAGATATCTCATTTGGTTGGGAGGAACTTATTTGGCAATAAATAAAGCATCATTTCTGAGCACAATCTTATTCAACTAGACACTCTTACAGACTGCTGGTATGTATAAACTTTTATATCTACAATAGCACATTTTTGGTTTGAAATGTTTTATCAGGGCATAATATTCCACATGTGAATAATGTATTGGATATATAATAAATATAGCAATTGTTTATAAACACTTATTTATAATACAATTTATTTATTGTATAAAACATGTATTATTTTGTTTAAAAGCAGATAATTGAGGTTGATACATTGATGGATTCCAGGTGAGCTGAATGTTTATAAAGTCTCTACAGCAGGTAAAATTATAATTGGAATATATGTATGTATATATATATATATATATATATGTGTGTGTGTGTGTGTGTGTGTGTGTCTGTGTGTGCGTGTATATAGATTACAGGTTTTAAACAAATTAGCTGTGCTACAGTTCTTTAATTACTGTCGGATACTGGTCAGTCTGTACTTCACAATAACACAAAATAATAAACCAAGTGTGTTTGTTGATAATTACGACCAGCTAGCTTAAAAATAATAATCAAGAAGACTGAATGTGTGAATATACATGAGTGAAAACAGATGCAATTGAACAGTTTTATTAACTACATTGAAAACTTAACTTTTATTAGGTGGCAATTGTTCAGTCTCTCAAATGGACTATATTTGTTTCTTTGTGTAAATGAGGATGTGAAATTGAAAATGATTCCTTCATATGTTGAGATGATGTGATGTGTTATGTCTTAAATCAGGATGGCCATACGTGTGATTTTGTTACTAACACTTTTTACTGGGCTCTCCGTTGCTTATTTTAAAGGTACGTTTAGAATAATACAAGTAAAAATGTCTGGATTTAAAAATCTGTAACCATTCTGAGTCATCATATTACATATCAATCAGATTAAATTATTCAAAATATAGGCTGAAATATGGTAATTAGAAGCTTGTGATTGATTGATTGATTGATTTGTATTGCTTTGAGGCTGTCTTATCATTATCATAACTGATTGAACAGGGAATGTTGCTCTTAATGCCAGAGTGGTGCAGTCATCTTTATACCACCGAGAGGGAGTTGCTGAACATGCAGTAGATGGAAACAGAGACACCGATTACAGGAAGGGCTCATGCACTCATACTCAAGTGCAGCTTAACCCATGGCTGAGAGTTGACCTCGGAAATGCCTACAGCATAAGCAAAGTTGCCCTCACTAATCGTGGAGACTGTTGCAAAGAGCGACTTAAAGGAGCTCAGATTCGTATCGGTAACAACCTGGAGAACAACGGAAACAACAATGAGCTGTAAGAAACGTTTCAATTGTTTTTTCATCTCCCCATGTTTCTGTTTCATCTGGTTTTACTAGGGTGACCATATGTCCTTTTTTTCCTGGACATGTTCTCTTTTTGGACCTAAAAAAATGTGTCCAGCTGGAATTTCTAAATTGTCCAAAATATAATTTCACCATTTGGGGCAGTCGTGGCCTAATGACTGCCCACTGCCCTGGGTGTGTATTCACGGTGTGTGTGTGTGTGTGTGTGTGTACTTGGATGGGTTAAATGCAGAGCATTTATTGTGAAGAGTGTTATACAATCTAATTTGATTTCAATAGTCTAATTGAATTTGTTAAACGTACATTGCATTGAGAGGCCTCTAGATTCCACTTTCAGCACTGTTCTTTATGTAATTGCAGGGCTGTAACTGTTCTCACTGTTTTTGATGGCACAAAAACATTTGAGTTTGAGCCCATTAGTGGCCGATTTGTCAACATTTTTTTACCCGGGAATGATGAAATCCTTACTCTGTGTGAAGTCGAGGTGTTTGCAGGTAAGGGACAGAGAGAGAAGACAACTCTGTGATAGAATTTGTCCATGTACTTGCTAATGTCTGTATGACTGTTGTTATTCTATTAACAGAAAAGGACAAACCACTGTACATTTGTGTTCCAAGTAAGTGCTCTTCATTACTCTGAATGCTGTCAGTAACACATGTATTTGGTAATCAATAAGGGATCACTTAAGACAGTTGTTATCTAGTGCCCCTTTGTCAAGACAAAATATCAGGCAATTTTTTTTTTTTCGTAATTAAAGACCCTTTTGTAAAGGCCTGCTGAATCTAACTATTTGTAAAATTAATGAATAATAATTTAGCCATAAATAAAATGACCCACATGATGACCTTTCACTTGACGGCCTCATCTGACCTCAGTACGAGAGGCGTCGCTAGGAATTCTGGGCCCTGTGCACTGAATGAGCTCTGTGATGTTCTCATCGCCTCATTTTAGATACGAATAAAATGTCAGGTCTTGCATAGACTATCCTGCCTCTTTGAATTTAAATAGATTTATTTACTCTGGCCCTGTTTCACCGGCGTCGAGGGGTCTGGTCTTTTTTATGCTATTTTTGCTAAAAATTATTCATACTTTTAACTATTATTATTACAGTATTTATTTTAAAAATGTACTGTAGAGTGCCTTAAAAATAATAAGGCTATCACAGCACTGGTAAAAAAAAAGGAAAAAAAAGCTTATATTGATCTTCGCATCCCCTGAATTATACTAATCCTGTTTTTTATTCGCATTCAAAAATAAATACATTCAGAACAGGATTAGAGTAGAATTATATTTTAAATATGACAGATTTGATTTTTTTTGAAACAGCAACAGTATTGTTTACAACAGCAAAACCTCCATAGCCTGTAAACTTAATAATAATAATAATAATAATAATAATAATAATAATAGTAATAATAATAAGTGCAGTTTCTAATCCCAGAGTTATTAATAGATACAACGAAAATATTCTTTAAGTGTAAAACTTCAAATTGTCTTTTTTATTCTGTGTTTCTTTTCAAAACTGCGTCATGGCGTTTGCTGCTTTATCAATACAGAAGCATCCGTATCGATGCATGTATCAGCAAGCAGTGTGTCACAATATATTGCTGTATTGATATTTTGAGCACAGCCCTATATAAAGCCTTGTTCCATGTGCCCCTTTAATCAGAGGTGGACAGTAACGAAGTGCATTTACTTGATTACTGTACTTAAGTGCACTTTTTGAGTATCGGTACTTTACTTGAGTATTATTTTTTTCTGGAAACTTATGACTTTAACTTCACTACATTTGAAAGACAAATATCATATTTTTCACTCCACAACATTTCTACCAAGGTCCTCGAAGTAGAAAGTCGTTGCTATATAGCAGCCGTGAAAGTCAGTGTCCCTTCTCTACAAAGTGACTTTTTTTTTTTTTTAGACAGCCTATCAGTAATCACTCTTGTAGCGTTACGTGAAGTGATTTCCCAGCATTTTTTTTTAACACTGATCAGTTCCAAATGTGATATTTATTTACAACAATTCAATAAGTTAATATTGTGGTATATATTAGACACAATATTGTCTGATTTTGCAAAATTGTGTAAACGAAAATATTACCTATAAAGCCACAGAAGAACTGTTGTGAGTCTCCTAACAAAATACAGTAGGTGTTTGACTTGAAGCAGCACTGCACAGACTGTTCTGTGTATGACAATAAACTGCAGTGAAAGCAATCAGAGAGCATTTTTTAAGTTTTTTTTTTTTTAAACAGTGTTGTAAAGTGTGATCACTGCCATCCTGCTTTTGTGGGGGTGGGTAGGGGTGTTAAACATTTTTATTTATTAATTATTTTTTTCAACTCACTTGTTTCATTTCTAAGGTTTTTAACATTCTAAAAGCTCTTCATTTCAAAGATACCACAAGCTAGTCAGTGTATTCAGTAGGTGTAATGTATTGTAAGTTCCTTCAGAGGCGTAAGGTATTGCAAGTATTACAACAATAATAAAACCAGTGCATTGACATAAAGTCAATTTACTTTTGGTACTTACGTACTTTTAAAAGCAAGTACTGTGCTTTTACTTAAGCAAAAATCTGCCTTTACAACTTTTACCTGTAATGGAGTAATATTTGACCAGCAGTATCTGTACTTTGACTCAAGTAATAGAGTTGTTCTTTGTTCACCTCAGCCTTTTATATTTTGAGCACCGGCCCTTCCAAAGGTCTCTGCATGGCCCTGGATTTGAGATGAAATATTTTCTTAGCTCATTGTAATAAATCCAAACTTCCATGAAGAACAATAATTCACTGCAGAACAAACAAACAAACAATAATATACAGAGACAATATACAGTCAGTTATACAATTTATTACATGGCTTTTCACCCAAAAAAATAAATCAATTAATTAAATAAAAATTGCATGGACATATTGATGAGATTAAAGTGTTTTAAATTCAAGAAGGACCAGACGATAAGTATAATCCCCATTATGTTGGGATTATACTTTAGAACATTGAAGTTAATAATAATAATAATTGTCTGTTGTTTTATGTTAAACAGGGAATCTTGCTCTTGGAGGCAAAGCTGTCCAGTCTTCCAGATACAGTGCATTAACAGCTGCTCATAATGCTATCGATGGCAACAGGGAGTCAAATTACGCCCGCGGGTCATGCAGCATTACTAACGCGGACAGGGACCCCTGGTGGAGAGTCGACTTGGGAGACGTCTACAGGATAACCAGGGTTAGCGTCACTAATCGTGGAGACTGTTGTGAAAAGAGGATCGAGGGGATCCAGATCCGTATCGGCAACAGCCTGCACAATAACGGCAACAATAATGACCTGTAAGTGTTGTCTCTATCTCTTAATACTTACACAAATGATTAGAAAATTAGTAAATATGATAAAACACAGCTTTTGAAACTAGAACTCCATTTCTCAAAACTAAAGATTAGGTTTATGAGTGAATGGCTTCACTAAGTGGGCCGCTTTTGGTGTCTAAGCAATTAAAAAAAAAAACTGTAATACAGACAGAAGTAAACTAGAACTCCATTTCTCAAAACTAAAGATTAGGTTTATGAGTGAATGGCTTATAAAAAAACTGTAATACAGACAGAAGTATATTTAATATGCCCCTATTTCTGCGTATTTTCACAGTGCAGCAGCTGTTGGGCCCATTCCACTTGGAGGCACAAAATCATTTGCATTTAAGCCTATTAAGGGGCGATATGTCAACCTTATTGTGCCTGGACGCAAAGAATACCTCACACTGTGTGAAGTTGAGGTATATTCAGGTAAGCGATAAAAGGAAAGAGATGTGATGTGTAGACATTTGTATGTGTATATGTGTACTATGTGTAATGCTGCCTTAATGATTTTTTTTTTCTTATTCTGATTTTATTGCCAGAGTAAGTGGAATAAAATGATGTTACACCACAGTCACTGATCCCCCCAAATGACTGTTTTCTGAGCAATACTAATATTGCACTTTTTTTCATTGTTTTCATTTTACTTATGTATACCTTTATCCTTCCTCCAATTGGGTGGGACTTGTATTTACACCCCAAACACCCCCACCTTTGTTTATCTTTGCTTTCTACATGAATAAATTACTTCAGCATTGCATGTCGTTTTGCAGTTTTCTGAATCAAAAAATCATTTGGATCTTTACAATGAGGAGGAGATATAGTGATATGAAATGTACTCCTGTAGCTAATGTGTGAGGTTAACAGCATCCAAAATCAATTTTAAATCGTATGTTCTGACCTTCCTGCACACACCTGACTTTAATTACAATAATAATGAATGTTTTATTTCTTAATACCATTTTGTGCCACTGTCTGATCATTACTAAAAGAAAAAAAACACATTCCCGCTTCCACTGATTGACTAATAATGTACAGGATTTCTAAAGTCCCCAATGACAATGGTTTCAGCTACTTCTTTACTCTTCTAAGGATGCAACAATGCCATTTTTTTTTCCTGAACTGATCCGATCCAGAAAATTCTGAGTATCGGCCGATACCAATACGATTCGATATCAGCTCAGTTTTGTTTTGTTTTGTTTGTTTGTTTTTAATCAATGTAGAATTTCTATGCTTCTGTGTGTTGACATGATCGTCACTCTTTTGTGTTAAACACAATCTACAAAATATAGGCAACTTAATTTTAATGAAAAATAACAAATTAAAAAATATATATTCATAATCGATGACAAAAATACTATTATAAACTAAGTTAGTGAAGAAGAAAAAGAAGAAGAGGAGGAGGAGGAGAAGAAGAAGAAGAAGAAGAAGAAGAGGAGGAGAAGAAGAAGAAGAAGAGGAGGAGGAGAAAAAGAAGAGGAAGAAGAGGAGGAGAATAAGATGAAGATGAGGAGGAGGAGGAGGAGAATAAGAAGAGGAGGAGGAGAAGAGGAGGAGGAGAAGAAGAAGAAGAGGAGGAGAAGAAGAATAATAGGAGGAGGAGAAGAAGAAGAAGAAGAGGAGGAGGAGAAGAGGAGGAGCAGAAGAAGAAGAAGAGGA